CTTCTTACACCAAATAACTCCTCTCTCTCTCTCTCCTCTTCGTCCACTGCATTGTTCAAAGCTTCATTGGCATTGACTACGATGGAGGAATTCGCACTAGCAAGATTTATAAAGCTTTACCAATGGAGATCGTCGATTTATATGAAGATTCCTAATAGTGCTTTATACAGCAAGATTTATATGAAGCAGAGCGCTGGTCCTCATTGTTGTTCCTCCGATCACTAGTCCTCCGATGAAGATTCCTCCGTCAACAAATATCACTACCCTTGGAGGACAAATATTAAGAAACAGAGCAGTAGTAAGATTTATAAAGCATTATAGCAGATATGAAAGCAAAAACAAAATGCATCAGTTACATATTCACAAGCACAACTGGAAAATATTTATCATTGTTTCTCTTACTTTTTTCTTGTTTCTTCTTCATTGTCTTTATTGTTGATCTCAACAAACTAAATCTTAAAATCTTCATACAACATTTAATGAAGAAATCCACATAAAAAGATGTATTCGAGAGCTGGGGACATGGATTTAGCAAATAAGGTGTTTGATGAAATGCTAATGAGAGAATGTCTAAGGTCTCTCAAATAAATCCAGAGAAATTTCAATCAAAACCAAAGAATGCCTCTAGACCAACCTAGAGAAAATTCAGTTCAAACCAGAGAATTTCCCTGGTCCAAACCAGAGAAATTCAATCCAATACATGAAGCAAAAGCAGAAGCAACGATCGTTATAGACAAAAGTGAAAGACAATCCTACTAAGAAAACACAGCATCTGTCTGGTCAAGACGTGCATCCATAGATGTGAACAAAGCCAAAAAAAATTGTGAACAAAGCTGGGACCATGAATTCGTTTAGTAACTTGTTACTATGGATCTTGGGCGGGGCTTCATCTGAAGGGTTCAATTCATTTCTTTCGATGTTTAGAGACGTGCGAGATCAAGACGGCCAAATTTATGCAGATCTAGCCAGGTAGGAAAATCATATAACACAAAATGCTCACTAAGGATTTGAATGTTGGTTAGTCCTTGTATTTTTTGAATGTTTAATTCTAATGTCATTGTAAAAGGTTTTGTAGAAATATTAGTTTATACATAAATGATTGCATAAACTAGATATGAAGTAATGGTCAACACCAATAGTATTGTTAATAAATAGAAGTTGAAATAAGAAAAGGAAAAGGAAAAAAATTTCTCTAATTTCAACTCAGAGAAATTTCAATTTTCTCTTGGTGTTGGTGATGTGTAAAATTTTCCCTGTGATGTGTTTAGAGAATTTGGTGTTGGAGATGTATAAAATTTCTCTATGATGTGTCTAGAGAAATTTCGTGTGGGTGATGTGTAAAATTTTCTCTGTGATGTGTCCAGAGAAATTTGGTGTCGATGATGTGTAAAATTGTCTCTGTGATGTGCCCAGAGAAATTTGAAATTGGAATTTTCTCTATGATATGTCCAGGGAACTTTGGAATTTTCTCAGTGATTTGTTCAGAAAAATTCTCTAAATCGAATTTTCTCTAGATCGATATTGAGGGACCTTAGATATTACAAAAATATCGAGTGTTCTTTATGCTATAAAATCTTAATATCAGGGATCTTAAAAAAAAAAAATCCCCGTGATATTTTTCTTCATACATGATCTATAGTGAAGCATGAGTTGAATTCAATCTCCACTACATATATCCATTTGTGGATAAATTTAGGGTGCAAAATTTTGAGACCTAGTTTTTTTTTTGTAAAAATAACAGTCTATTTGGTTTGTCTCCAAAAACATGTTTGGTTGAAAATTTTTATTTTTTATTTTCAAAATCATTTTTTTTCAACTACACATTAATAATCACTTTTTTCATTCTCTTATCTTTTTCTCTTACACCCATTTAATCAACTACAAAATAAAAAATAAAAAAAATAAATATTAAATCATCCCAAACTCCAACATTTGAAAATTATTTTCAAAATATATAATTAAACAAATTTTCAAAAAATTTAAATTCTCTTGAAAAATATATATTTAAAATAATATTTCAAAACACAAACCCTATATTTGCTTCCTTTTCCTCTCTTCTCTCTTTCTCCTGGTACACCGGCATTGACTGGATTCCCAGGCATACCACTCCGGCCACATGGCACAATCGGAGATCGGTGAGCTCAGCTGCACCTGATAAATCTTCCCAATTTTCTCTATTTGGCATTCTTACTCAATTCATGCTTTTATATAAGTAGGTGATTGATTACATTTCTTGCAAAATCGCATGAGATTCTCTACAGATTTTGTGGGTTTTATTTTCCTGTTCGTTTCTATCTAAACCCGTTTATGATAAACATTAAAACCCACCAAATTCATCCATATTCACTAATTCAACTTTCTTGATTTCTTTTTATTTGATTCCACATTTTTATTTATTATTATTTTCTTTTCTTTTTCCTGTGAGTTTGTTGAGATAAGTGAGGATAAGTCGATGTGTAGTTGTTGAGAAATTGTTTGTTGTTGTTAGAAAATGTAATTTAAAATTGGATTTTTTAGGGAAAAAACATGACTTGTTTGGATATAAGCATTTTTTGCATTAGATGGTTACCATGTTAGGTAGGGGTTGTTTTGCTGAGAAATGTAACTGGGAGGCTTTGACAGGCTAGGTGCAGGCAATGAAGATAGTAGGGGTTAGGTGCATGTTAGGCGTCAGTTGAGAATCTTGTGCCTCAAGCTTCGATTCAGGTAAACAATTTGATTCAAATTTTAACTATAATTTACGTTGCTTGTTGTGGTTGATGATTTGTCTCAATTAGATATATGAATCTCTTGAGTTTCAAATTCTAATTCTAAGCTCTGAATAATTTGAACCTTTAGGTTCTTGGAGAATCATGTTATGGTTTGATTCATAATGTTTGTTATTGAACTCAAACTGTTACATGACAATCATTAATCATTATTGTTGCTCCCGTTCAAGGTGTTTCTCTTGTAATTGACTTTGGATTGTTGAGTTTTGCACAAGTTCTTGGGATATCCATGGTTATATGATATGATGCATGGACATGGACACGGGGACACGTAAATTTTAAAAAAACAAGGAACACGACATGCTGGGACACGTTTAATATATATAATTTTATTTATTTATTATATGTATAAAATAAAAAGAAAAATCATTAATTTTTATACAATTACAATAGTAATAAAATTAATAAACATATTTTTAATTTTTTTTAATAAGAAATGAGTTTTTTAAAATAAAAATAATTTATTTTAGGGAGACTTATTTATAAGTCATATTTCGAACACTTATGCTTTGTTAAGTCCTGTCTAATTTCTTATAGAGCTTCAAGTCCTATTTAGATAGGAATGTATTCCACAAGATCCTATGAGTTGTAAATAAATGGTATTACTATATTATTATACACTATAATGGCAAAACCATATATAGGAAATTGAATGTTACCATAGATCATATCTATATGAATGTTGTGAGACCATGAAATATCCTCTCACGTGGATGTTGTAGAGATCCAACGAAAAAAAAAGCTTCATCCCTGTATATCTGCAATGATGAACATAGTTGGTGCCATCCAACCGGGGTTGCCGGTCGGGGACACTCCGATGATGAAGTTAGTCATTGAATCAAATAAGTAAATAGTATATATATTTGAAGGGGTGTGTGTTCTGTGGAGAGAGATGAGACATACCTTCCACTTGGGATGCCCTCTTTATATAGATAGGGGGTGTGATATTTGTTTGGGTTGGATTCATTGTAGCCTTTGTTTGTGTTAGGCCCAATAAGTTAGTACCTATATTTTTCTTTTCACAAATGTGAATTTCAAAATACACGAACAAGTAGCATATTCACATTCAATTTAAAAAATCAAAAACCTAGTAAGTTTGCGAAACGTAACGTGACACGTTACGTTACATTTATGTAGGTGTCATGTTACGTTTATGTAGGTGTCACGTTACGTTTATGTAATTCAATTTAAAAAATAAAAAACCTAATAAGTTTGCGAAACGTAACGTGACACGTTACGTTACGTTTATATAGGTGTCACGTTACTTTACGTTTATGTAGGTGTCACGTTACGTTTAGCAAACTTAATCTATGGTAACATTCAATTTCCTGTTTTACTATTATTTTTGATATTAACAACTAATATTGAGGGTAAATGTGTCAACAAACTTCACACAGGATATATGGAAACATAAATTTATTAGTAAGACCATATGTAGCATAAGTCTCCCTAAGAGCATCTCCAACGGTGACTCGGATTTTTCACCAAATCTGAGTAAAAAATGACCCATTTTACCAAATTTGATACCACTCACTCCAACGGTGCATCAAATCCCGTGGGTCAACCGGTTGGTCGACCGATGGGTTAACCGGTAAGCGTAAATATATTTTTTTGGAACGCTTTGTTCATGGAGATGGGAATTTGTTCAATAACTATCCAGAATTAGAGTAATCTTTGGTTTGGGTTTATTTTCACTCCACTTTTCCAGAATTCAACAAGGTGGAATGTTGGGACCACTCATCTTCATCAATTCATCAAGAACTTGGAATGTATTCAGAACAGCTTCATCTCTGTTTTGGTTTTGGTGGTTGACCGGCCGGTCAACCAGTAAGGCAAAAATAATTTTTTTTTTTTTACCTGTTTGAACTTTTTTTGACTGGTTTGGACCTATCAATTTCAAAGGAATTCGGTCGACTGGTTGGTCAATCGGCCGGGCAACCGGTTGGTCGACCGGGTCTCCCCTCCAACGGTCACCAACAGTGTTTTGGTGAAATCAGTATTTCGTCGTCAGTTTGATGAATTGTTTGATGAAATCTCAATTTGATATTCATTTGGTGCAAACGTTGGAGCAGTGAAAAGTAACTTTTTCATCAAATTTTGAATTTGATATTAGTTTTGGTGAACCATTGGAGATGGTTATAAATAATTTTTCCTTTATTTTATGTATTTTAGGTTTAATAAAAACAAGGATAAAAAAAAAAAGTGGGAAGAAAATAAAATAGAGAAACAAAACAGGGAAAGTGAAATGAGAGAGAGAATAGGAGACGACGAAGAAAAGGGGGGAGAAGAAGGAGAAGAAGATGGAGACAGAAGACGAAGACGAAGACGAGGAGGAGAAGAAGAAGAGAGCAGACGAAGAATACCTCAGCTTCTTCAATTGATCTGAACAGGTTAGGGCTCCTCTCCTCTCCTCTCCTCTCCTCTCCTCCCTTCTCTTTCTCTCTTTGTCTCTTTCCCTCCAACAGTTAGGGCTTCGATCCACCTCATGCGTGTCAGTTGCATTCGATTCGTAGATGTTGGATTTGAGATCAAACTACATTTATTCGTTTGGTTATTTATTGTTGTGCCCTAACATTTTAAGCTCAAATATGGACTTGGCTGATGTTGTTTTTGATTTGAATGACTTTGATCTGGATTGAACAGATGCAGATCCTGAGCTAGCTAATTCGAAATGCTACAATCTAGAGTTTCTGGTTCTCTTAGATTTAGGGCTCTGATTTGGTATTGACCTAGAGTTCTCTGTACTATCTTTTTCCTTTTCTTTTCTGTCTTTCTTTCTTTCTTTCTTTCTTTTTCATTTAAAAAAAAAAAAATAGCTAAAGATTTAAGGACTGATGTTAAATTTTTTCGGATAATTCCAAAAACAGAGGATGGTACATGATTACCATAATGCCGTAGTTTTATACGCAAATATTTTTGTTTTTGGGTTGATTCGTTACCTTGCTTTTTATGAATCCATGTTAAGAAATTAGACCAAGTTATGAGCTTTATCTCTACATTGAATTGGCTTTTCCTTGAGCTTCTTATGGGCTCATGAATTTGGCAACAAAGTGATTATGATGGGTCAAACAGATTATTGTCATGAATCATGATGATAATATTGTTAGTTTAAACAGATTTATCTCATGTCATGCTTATGTTTCCTGTAGAGCCGATCTTATATTTGTATTGTTTACTCTATTCTGGGGTGGTATGACCTCACTTTTCTTATAAAAATACAATGACATTCACCATGTGTTGTTGGTCCTTATCGAACATCTCTTTAATATTGGATTCATTGCAGGGTAGAAATGTCGACGCCTTGATTTTGTATTGACAAGCTGTGCCCTCTGTGTCTCAGATCCAAATATGATTTTCCTTTGCCCTTTAGGTATGTGTATGTATTGTTTCTATCGATTTTGCTGTCGATGCTACTTTCTGAATGTGTTTTGTTTAAGTGGAAGTGTTTTAGGTTTTCATTGAAGTGGATAGGTGAGGTTGTTCAACCATAATTTGATTCAATTTACACTTCTTCTATGTGTCTGCAACATAATAAGACTTGATTCTTTCACTCTTTCATTTTTGATTCAGATAGAAAAATTGAAGATCTAATGATAAATTTTTGGTGAAAATCCAATAAAATTTTAGCACATTTTGCAATAGAGTTGAAGGCAGTGATTTATTGTGCTCCCCTGGTACAACTTCAAGAAATTTGACTTATTTTGAATTGTTTCAAGTGTCTCTTCGACTAGAAAACTCATAGAAAGCAGTAGGTTAAAACAGAATTCAGCATAGTAGTAAAACAAAACACAACCTAGTTTGAGATTTATTTAAAATTCGTTTATTGGAATTTTCTTCTATTACACAATATACTAGACTCATGGAGGGATTGCCTGTTAAAATTTGATGAAGTTATGAGGTAGAGAACTATTTTTAAAAATTCATCAAAGCCAGGCCTCTGCACAATTTCAATTCTGCGTAATCATGAAAACTCACCCCCAAAATAGCTATGCTTTTGCTTTACTAAAGCCTCTTTTCATTCCATCTTGTAAACATGATTTAAACTACATAAAAGATCAATAAATTCATGCTTGAAACTATTTAACAACAAATTAAAAATTGAATTGAAAAATTTACTGACTAAGAACTTTTTGTCAAGCTCTCTAGAAATTGAGTGAAGTTCTGCTTAAGGACTTGTACCTCATCGTGTTTTGAATTATTTTGCAGGGGAAGTGTGGTATTGAGAAATAACCTTTTTATTTAATTATTTATTTTTTTTTGGGGGGGGGGGATTGCACTAATTGAGACTAGGTGAGGCACAATTTTTAAGGTCACAATTTTCTGGATAAGGAAAATTGCTTCTACGAATCATCTTCTTCCTTTTATTGGTGCTTTCGCTCTTTTCAAATATTTAGTTAATCGTGAATAGTAGAGTAGAGTCCAATTATATCTTTTGTGCTTGTATAGTATTTTGGTCCTTAACTCTCAAATCTTGGAAGCCCTTTTAACTGTGTCTCTTTGCGATGCTAGCTATTTAGACATAATTGATAGTTACCTAAATCATTTTGAACCGAAATGACGCAAAAGTGGCTTCGGCAGAGTTAGTACTAGTCGTGGGAAACATGTGTTAGAATCTGCTTCTCTTGATTCTGTTGTTAAAGCTATATTTTTCTTGTTACCAGATATATTCTTGGTGTTATATGGAAAATTCCATTTTGTGGGGTGTCCAATAATTATCCACTTTATTCTATTTATTTATGCATTTATATATTTTTTGGGGGACTTTTAACCTCTTTTCCCTTTTCCTACTTAACAATAATTCCTCTGTTCCAAGGTATTTTGGAGCCGCATCCTGGAGCTATCGACAGCAGCCTAAGCAAGTCACACCTGGAAATGGGTATGTTGCTATTGGTGAACAATACCTTATAGTATATAGTCTATAATATTATACCACAATGTATTTTCCAAACAGATGATTTGTGCTGCTAATCTCATATATTTTGGTCAAGACGTTCCAAATTTTTTTCATAATTTTTTCTGCGAGCTGCAGATACATGAGGCAGTGATGAACACTGAAGACACAATGTGATTGAGAAAATCCTTCAATCTGCTTTAAAATTGTAGTTTAGGATCCACCGGCCCTTTCTGATGAATCAATAGTGAAAGCAATGGAAGCTTCAACATAAGAGCTAACCTTGCATGCAAGTTGATGAGTAGTAGAGCTTACCTTGATTCCATATTTAATAATATTAGTGTTAAACTAAATATTGATGTATGTTTTTGCATGTATGAAAGTTTATATTTTGTTTGCACACTGATATATATATATATATGTATGTGAATGTATGTGAATATAGGTTAATAATTCTATTATAAGTTTAAATTAATTTGTTAATTTTTTTAAAAATTATTTTTCAAATTTTTTTTTTTTTTTTTTTTTTTTTTTTTTTTTTTTTTTTGTAGCAAACGTATATATGATTTTTATAATAAATAATTCTTTGCAACGGTAAAGTGTTATTTATTTAATTTTTTTTTTTGCGACTGCAAAATAGCTGTTGCAAAAAGTAGTTTATGCTCTGCCATCGCAAAAAATATTTGCCACCACCATATTTGCGTCCCCCATTTGTGGTTGCATGGCAGTCACAAAAGGTCATTTGTGACTGCATTTTCTTTATTTGTGACGGCTTGTGACGGTCACAAGGACGCTTGATATGATTATCAACAATACGCCATGAAGGCAAGAGGTACCTATTAAACACAGAACACAAAAATTTCCAAAATATTGAATCCACAGTAATAAAGCAACTTTTCTGGATGTGTGATGCAGGCAAACCAGAAAAACAGAAGCGCACAGTTACAATTGATGAAATGGTGGGAGGAAGAAAGGAAAGTATTCTGTGGACGAGCAGACTCATTCATTGCACTCATGCATCTTGTCCAAGGTACCCAAACAAGTTCTCTCTATACTTGACCTAGAAGTTTCAAATCCTTACAAAAGTTGCTAGATTTCATCCTTAAAAGCCTAGGTCGATTTTATGTAGTAGTTATCTGGTGCACAAACCTGTTATTGACTTATTCTGGTTTGCACATATCATTCTAGGTTACCAAAAAATGAAGCCTACTAAAAAAAAAAGTTCAAATTATGTGAATACACTCACAGTAACACAGTACTAGCTAGGCACCGCCACAACATGAAAGCAAAATACAAATCTTAAAGAGTTCACAAGCTATTAACTAAAATGGTGAATATAATTGACATCCAAGCAGTGTAGAAATTCCAGATGTAGTAAGCAAAGATAGAAAAGTGCACTGTACAAAAATGCCTAAGCAGCTCATGCAAAGAATAAACTGAACATTGTCAGTCTTGCACCCAACCTTACAATTCTGATTCGTTTTAAAGACAATGCACTAAGATCATTATTCCTTTATTTTTTTTGGGTGAATTTTCTTCAAATTAGCATTTATTTTCCATTGCTACTGTCGGAATCTCTTGGATAGAAACACTATCTCTGTACCAAGAATGAACATACAAAGAAATTATATGATATTCTATGTCCAGTGCATGTAAATTAAAAGATATATTTATCTAACCAATATTTCAGGAAATAGATGCTTCTCACAGTGGAAAGGCTCAGTTGTTGACTCAGTAATAGGAGTGTTCCTTACTCAGAATGTCTTAGACCTTAACTATGATTTTTTTTATTTTTTTTTTCGGAAACAAATTTCAGTATATAGAGAAAACAAATTGTATTGAAGAAAAGCCCTAGCACTGTAAAACGTAGCTAAGGTCTTGCATAAACGATGAAATTCGGATACAAGGAATGAAACAATTACTCATGATAGAAATAAAGGAAAGAACAAAAGAACTTCAAAAATGGAATATCAATACTTAGGTGATTTAGAAAATCTTAAGTGAGGTGTTTAAGTTAAAAGTAATGTCGTTAAGTTATAATTATTCAGTAAATTCTCTTTCTTAGAGACTAAGCGTGATTAGTTTGAGTTAAACTTGGTTACTTAAGATAATGAAACAAGTGGCCTAAGCTAATTATTTCATACAACAAAAGAGAGAAGGATGGAGAAAGTTAGAGAAACTTTTTTCTTGAGAGGTAGAAGAGAAAAGAAAGAGAAATAAGAAGAAAATCAAAGTGAATTAAAATTCATCCATTTGGACTTGAGAATTGAACACTTAGGTGATTTAAAAAACCTTAAGTGAGGTGCTTAAGTTAAACTAAGATCATTAAGTTATAATTAGTCAGTAAATTCTCTTTTGTAGAGAATAAACATGATTAGTTTTAGTTAAACTCGGTCACTTAAGAAAATGAAGTTGATTATATATAAATTTTGGTTTAAATTCACTTAAATGAGTAGCAAAAGCAACCCTACCAATGAAAATCTTTCCCCACATACAAACAGAATACCTGATGAAATACATGTTATAGCAAGCTCTCTTATCATGGTTCATTAGATGTTTCACCGTGTATACAAAATCGTAAGGTTTATGCATGATTACAAGTTTGGGGTTTGAGATGACTTACTTTGCCTTGCCTGGAGGAACATCTCTCAACCACTCAAGGTCAATGCTTCCATGTTTTCTAACCATTCGGTTTTAGGAAATCCTGCATAATTACGTAATCATTATTAACTTTTTTTTTTATAGGTTTCTGCATTTAGCTTGTTATTACACACGGCCAGAGCAATTTGAAGCTGATTTTGACAAATATGAAACTTTTGAAATATGATTTGTACTCCTACCTTGATTCACTCTGCTAGCAAGTTGTTCTTTCCTAGTTCTCTGATAGAATTAGAAATCTCATTGACATCTGCACATTGTATTGCTTCGTAGTCCAGGGAGTCCATAGTAATAACTGATGTATCCTTTTGTGACCAAACATACCTCCTTTTGCATGGAGGGAGCATTAGTAGCTTCCGAACTAGGGCAGGATACCCTCCTTTCCAGGATTGTATTATTGCCTCTTTGAATGATTTAGTGAATCCTACGTCTGACTTCTAAATTAGGACAGGGCAGCCCTACCCCCCAAATAGGCATGAATGCAAATTATGTGCTTATGTGATATTTTGGAAATGATTTGATTTGATTCCAGCGATCTAACAACGAGAAAGACAGTGATTTCATTTCCAAAATCTGGGGAGTCTGACGTGGCAGTGATTTGATTATGTGGCAATTCGAGTTATTTAGGGGCAATGATGCAATTACAAAGATTTAGGGGTTCAATTTAGGCAATGATTCATATTTTTAGGGGGGTGGTTTCCCAATTTTAAAGAATTTGAGTTTGAATTTGGGTTCTTACCTTAGTGATCAAAGAAGAAGAGGAAAAAGAAAGGAATGATTGCCTTTTTAAAATTTAAATCCCCAAGAAAACATGTTATTAAAGAATAATTTGTAAAAAAAAAAGGAACTTTCCAACCTAAGTAGAACCTCGGAGATTATGGAAGGTGTTTGATCGAATAAGAATCTTTAAGTCATTGACTTTAGGGGGAATTTCGACTTTCATGAAAAATGGGAGATAAGGAAGTGGTGACCAAATCTTCAATTTTGAATGAAATTTGAAATCCCCCAGAAATATATTTGACTAAGGAGACAATTGTTTGATTAGATACTTGGAATCAGATCGAGAGTTCCTTGGGAGGAAAGAATTGTGAAAGAAAACCCGAGTAAAATTTTAGAAATTATGGAAAGTTTTTGATCAGGCAGAATTCTTTAGGTTTTTGACTTTAGAGGGAATTTGATTTTATGGAAAAGTGTTGATGAGGAGGTGATGACCGAGTTTTTTACTTTGAAGTGAAATTTTGATTATCCTTAGAAGACATTTGACTATAAGGTAACTGTTTGATTGATTTCTTGGAATAAGATCTAAAATTCCTGGGAAATTTTTTGAAAATAAAATTTGAATAGAGTTCCGAAATTATGGAAAGTTCTTTTCATAAGGTAAAAACCTTTGGGCCACTGACTTTGAGGGAGCCTTAATTTTATGGAGAAATGTTGGACAAGGAAGTAATGATCAAGTCTTTCATTTCGAATAAAATTTTGGTTCCTGTACAAGATAGTTGGCTAAAGGGTGATCGTTTAGTTGATTCTTTGGAATAAAATCCGAACTCCTCAAAACTTTCGGAAAAAAAAGAGGCAAGGGGAAACATTGAAATTTTAAATAAAAAAAAAACGGAACTTTATTTTGGAAAAGGATTTTGAAAAAAATAGACTTTGAAATTTGATGGCGTACTTTTGAAAATAAATTGGGGCACATTTCGGAAAACAATAAATAATGGAAAGACAATTGTTTAGATTGATCACTCTGGTAGGAATCCTTTAAATTCCTCATAATTCCCTTGGTCGGGCAACTATCACCCAATGGGTGATGACGATGACTTCGAGACCCAATGGTAACTGTTAAACAAAATTGACTGGTTTCATTCACCTATCCTCGGGTTTGTTGCATAGTATCCCGGACACTATTCGTGGGTTATGTTATGTCAATAAGGCAAGCATGAGATGCTAGTACTGTTTGATCATTCCCTTGTGAAAGGAGTGGTATATTGATAGTAATAACTGATGTACCCTTTTGTGACCAAACTTACCCCTTTTTGCATAGAGGGAGCATTAGCAGCTTCCGAACTAGGGGAGGATACCCTCCTTTCCAGGATTGTATTATTGCCTCTTTGAATGATTTAGTGAATCCTATCTGACTTCTAAATTAGGACAGGGCAGCCCTACCCCTCAAATAGGCATGAATGCAAATTATGTGCTTATGTGATATTTTGAAAATGATTTGATTTGATCCCAGCGATCTAACAACGAGAAAGACAGTGATTTCATTCCCAAAATCTGGGGAGTCAGACGTGGCAGTGATTTGATTCTGTGGCAGTCCGAGTTATTTAGGGGCAATGATGCAGTTACAAAGATTTGGGGGTTCAATTTAGGCAGTGATTCATATTTTGATCATGATTTGAGTAATTTGTAGTAAATTAGGGGGGTGGTTTTCCAATTTTCAAGAATTTGAGTTTGAATTTGGGTTCTTACCTTAGTGATCAAAGAAGAAGAGGAAATGGAAAGGAACGATTGCCTTTTTAAAATTTAAATCCCCAAGAAAACATGTTATTAAAGAATAACATTTAAAAAAAAAGGAACTTTCCAACCTAAGTAGAGCCTCGGAGATTGTGGAAGGTATTTGATCGAATAAGAATCTTTAAGCCATTTGACTTTAGGGGGAATTTTGACTTTTATGAAAAATGGGAGATAAGGAAGTGGTGACCAAATTTTCAATTTTGAATAAAATTCGATATCCCTTAGAAAGACATTTGACTAAGGAGACAATTGTTTGATTAGATACTTGGAATCAGATCGAGAGCTCCTTGGGAGGAAAGAATTGTGAAAGAAAACTCGAGTAAAATTTTAGAAATTATGGAAAGTTTTTGATCAGACAGAAATATTTAGGTTTTTGACTTTAGAGGCAATTTGATTTTATGGAAAAGTGTTGATGAGGAGGTGATGACCGAGTCTTTCACTTTGAAGTGAAATTTTGAATTTCCTTAGCAGACATTTGACTATAAGGTAACTGTTTGATTGATTTATTGGAATAAGATCTAAAATTCCTTTGAAATTTTTTGAAAATAAAATTTGAATAGAGTTCCGAAATTATGGAAAGTTCTTTTCATCAGGTAAAAACCTTTGGGCCACTAACTTTGAGGGAACCTTAATTTTATGGAAAAATGTTGGACAAGGAAGTAATGACCAAGTCTCTCATTTCGAATAAAATTTTGGTTCCTGTACGAGATATTTGGCTAAAGGGTGATCGTTTGGTTGATTCCTTGGAATAAAATCCGAACTCGTCAAAACTTTCGAAAAAAAAGAGGAAAGGGGGAACATTGAAATTTTAAATAAAAAAAAAAAACGGCATTTTATTTTGAAAAATATGGACGTTGAAAT